TTTAGGTTTGGGAACTATTCATCTTACCTCTTCTATGTCCCTTTCCTCTGTGTTATATGTTCTTCAATTCCCTTTTAATTTGTTGTCCATTAGCAAAATTACTAAATCTCTTCACTGTTCTGTTACATTTTATCCCATATGTTGTCTTTTTTAGGATCTCAAGACGAAGAAGAGGATTGGTATTGGACATGAAGTAGGTGGCTTGTATTACTTCGATCTTGCACCATCTCCCACGGCTCTTCAATCATCTTTATCTTTTTTCCAGTGGCACTGTCATCTCGGCCACCCATCACTATCAGTTCTGCAGCGTCAAGTCCCTGGTCTTAGTCGTGTTGAGTCCATGTCTTGTGAAACATGTCAGCTTAGTAAGCATTGTCGTGTATCTTTCAAGCCAAGGGCTAATAATCGTGTTGCTAGTCCTTTTCAATTAGTTCATTCAGATGTATGGGGACCAATAAAACATATTTCTATTAATGGATTTCGTTAGTTTATGACCTTTGTGGATGATAATCCTCGAATGACTTGGTTGTTTTTAATGAAAAATCGTTCTGAATTGTTTTATTTTTTCAAAATATTTCGCAAAGAAATAGAAACTCAATTTGGGTGGTCCATTAAAATTTTACGTTCTGACAATGCCAAAGAATATTTCTCGGACCCATTCGAGACTTATTTTCATGCTAAAGGCATCATTCATCAATCCTTTTGTATTTATACTCCGCAACAAAATAGAGTAGCTGAACGTAAAAATCATCATCTTCTAGAAGTCTGTCGTGCCATTTTATTTCATATGCATGTTCCCAAACGATTTTGGAGTGATGCCGTTCTTACGGCATGTCATCTTATTAATCGACTGCCCTCATTCGTGTTAAAAGGTAAATCTCCTCATTCTGTTTTATTTCCCGACTCCGTATCGTTTAATTTGACTCCGCGAGTCTTTGGCTGTGTGTGTTATGTCCATAACCTTGGACCCGGTCTTGATAAACTCGACCTTCGTGCCACTAAGTGTGTTTTTCTTGGGTATTCTCGCACTCAGAAGGGCTATCGTTGTTACAATCCTCATTTTCAACGCTATTTCACTAGTGCTGATGTAACATTTTCTGAGTCTCTCTCATATTTTTCTGATTCTATTACTCCTCTCGATATTACTTCTGAGCCACCTATGCCAACGGTTCCACCTCAGTTTCCTACTTCCACACCTCCTTACTCTATTATCCCTCTATAGGTTTATACTCGACGACCTCGACCGCCTACTTCGCTCCCTCCATCTTCTTCAGAGTCTTCGGATCCGACGCCTTTACCCGATGATTTGCCTATTGCTCTCCGTAAAGGTATTCGGTCGTGTGTTACTGCACATCCCATTTCTAACTTTGTCTCCTACCATCATATTTGATCGGTTTAGGATTCGATCACTAATAAATCAACCCTTTGTAATAGCATAAATCATTGTAAAATAGGACCATTGGACGGGTAAGTCGGACCACTGGGATTGCTAGTTTATGGTAACCAAGATTGTAAAATCACTTCTAGTTTAATGAAAGGTGTATAGAGTTTTTTTTGGTTTGTCACTTGAAACTAGAATTGAATTGTGCATAAACAACAATTGCAAGAAAATTAAGGAGATGAAAATAATGAAAAGAGGACTAGGGAAATGAATCCACTACCTACCCTATTAACATGCTAAGTTGTTATTAACTTGGGAAACAATTTCGGTCCATGGCAATGATATGTAGCAATATGAGATTGCTACATTTCTTCAAGAAGTTCATAGGATCAAGATTTAAGTATAATCCCTCAAAGTTCCACATGCTTGAACTACCTAAATTAGGGTGTAGCCATGACATACTCACTAAGCTATGGACTATCAAACTCCTCAATCACTATGGTAGTAGCACATGGAGATAAGAATCAAGAAAAGTTCATCAAAGGAGAACCCTAAGCCATGGACTAACAAGCTTCTCATATACATGCCAATAATAACCTTTTCACAATCTCATTTCCATTGTCACTATGAAAATGAAAGCAATATAATCATGAGGCAATAAAATCTAAGACAAGATAATAAAATCAACATGATCATTTATAGAAATTAAGATCCATTACAAAATATGAAGTGCTCTAGATCATGAAACTACCATATACATGAATCATTCCCAAAATTAAATGAAACTAAGGTATGCTTACAAGGGAGGGCTTCATCACCTCCCTAGAAAGGGAGTTAGTTACCCATAGGAGCAATGGAGGAAGGAGAAGAGATTATCATCCCCACCATTTTCGTACCTCAAGGCTACAAGACACCTAACCCTCTAAACTCACAATATTTCTCTCTCTAGAACTTGCAAAAATGTGAGATCCCAAAAATACAACCCTCCTAGCCTTTCTATATGCCACCATAGACTCCTAACCACTCCAATTTTGTGGTCCATAATCCCTAGGAGAGTGCAGCACCACACAAAATGGGTCAAGGGGACAGCCTTGAAGGAAACAATGCAGACCATGCTCACATGTCTGCGAAGTGGTGGGTGCTCACATGCGCAGGGCGGGCGCCCGTGGAAGCTAGAAGATTCTGCCCAAAACGGCGGGCGCCTGCGGTTGTTCCTCAGCTCTGCGTACCTTTGGTAAAAAGGCCATAACTCCCTGCTCCGAACTCCAAATGACAAATAATTTGATGATTTGGAAAGATAACTCAATGATCTAAGTACATCATGTTTTAATAGAAGTCCAATTCTCAAGTTTGGTGGGTCGAAAATGAAGAACAAAATCGAACTTCACTGCTGCCAGGCTATAAATTTCAGCATTGCACACCTAGGGTAAAAATATCATAACTCTTTGCTCCAAACTCCTAATGATGAACTGTTTGATGATTTGGAAAGCTAACTAAAATATCTAAGTATGTCATGTTTTAATGGGAGTCCAATTCTCAAGTGTGGTGGGTCAAAAATGAAGAACAAAGTCAAACTTCACTGCTGCCAGGTTGCTTTTGGGCTCGGTCCGCTTTGGCAGGCATCCTCCTTAGCGCTTTTTGCAGGGAAAACATGAGATTAATGGGTCACTGGCTTGGCCAAAATGAAGGTTCCTGGCAATGGCATGCTTCGATTCTTCAAAAACTCAACAAAGTAGCGCTTTTAACTATCTTTGGGGCACCAACCTGAAAATGAACAAAAACACGCAAATGAAGCTAATATGTATAGTATGATCAATGAATGGACTTAACTAATACAAATAAGGGTGCTTGAATATGCAATATTCGGCGCTTATCAATATTTCATCATCTTTATTTTGTTTTTATCCAAAGTATCTGCTATTTTTGTTCCCAAGACTTTGTAGGATGCTCTCTCTGATTTGGGTTGGTGACAAGCTATGGTGGATGAAATGGATGCCCTTCACCGTAATGGAACATGGGATCTTGTTCCCTTACCTCCGGGCTCCAAAATGGTTGGTTATAAGTGGGTCTACACAGTTAAATACCTTCACAATAGGTCTATTGAGCGGTTGAAGGCTCTTCTAGTGGCAAAAGGGTACACTTAGACTTATGGTGTTGATTATGATGAGACTTTTTCCCTTGTTGCTAAGATTTCTTCTATTCGGGTTCTTATTTCCATTGCTGCCAATTGTAACTGGCCGTTGTTTCAATTAGGTGTCAAAAATGCCTTCTTACATGGTGACCTGGTTGAAGAGGTTTATATGGAGCAACCACCTGGGTTTGTTGCTCAGAGGGAGTATCATTACACTGTTTGTCGCCTTAAAAAGGCCCTGTATGGATTAAAACAATCTCCATGGGCTTGGTTTGGAAAATTCTCTGAGGAGGCATTAGAATTTGGTCTTAACAGATGCCAGACAGATCATTCGATATTTCACCTGCGCACTAAAGCTGGCTTCATTTTTCTTGTGGTGTATGTAGATGATATTGTGATCACAGGTGATGATTCTGCAGACATTGCTAAGTTGAAGTTGTTTCTGTAAAATCGATTCCACACTAAAGACTTGGGTAAACTTAGGTACTTCTTAGGTATTGAAGTTGCTAGATCCAAGGAAGGTATAAGTTTATCTCAACGAAAATATGTGTTGGACTTACTAGAAGAAACAGGTATGTTAGGTGGTTGTCCAGTTGATGCTCCTATGGATTCAAATACAAAACTTGTATCTGATGAGGGTAATCTATTTAATGACCTGGGCAGATTTCGTCACCTTGTTGGGAAATTAATTTATCTCACTATTACTCGACCTGATATTTCATATGCAGTTAGTGTTGTAAGTCAATTCATGGGAGCTCCTAGAATGCCACATTGGATTGTTGTTCTTCGGATTATCCGATATCTCAAGCAAGCTCCAGGTTTTGGGTTACTATACAAATCAAATGGTCATCTCAGGGTGGAAGGTTTTATAGATGCTGACTGGGCTGGTTCTCCTTCAGATAGGAGATCTACTGCAGGCTACTGTACATTTGTAGGAGGAAATCTTGTTACATGGAAAAGTAAAAAGCAAACGGTGGTAGCTCGATTTAATGCTGAAGCTGAGTATAGGGCAATGGCCCATACCACTAGTGAGTTGACATGGATACAACATTTTCTAAAAGAACTTGGGTTGACAGTTGAAGCTCCTACTCCATTGTTCTGTGATAACCAAGCAGCTGTTCACATTGCATCGAATCCTGTGTTTCATGAGAGGACCAAACATATTGAGGTTGATTGTCACTTTGTTCGGGAAAAACTATTAAGTGGGAGCATCTTTACTCCATTTGTGAAGTCTGAAGATCAACTAGCTGATATGTTTACTAAAGCACTGGGTCATAACCGGTTAAGGACTCTCTATTTCAAGCTGGGATTATTTGATATATAACTCTAGCTTGAGGGGGAGTGTTAGAATGTTTATTTCCTCCATAATATTGGGTCCTTATGTAATTACCCATAGTAGTTAGGCTTATTATGTAATTAAGCAATATTGTGTAATTAGGGTGTATAACCCTTGTTCTTTATACAAGCCTCACAAGAGAAGGCTGAATAGAATACACAGAATATACATTACTCTCTCTCCCTCTATCTCTCATGAATTTGAACAGATGATAAGCATGATATGCAGGTTTAAGTGTGAGAAAAACCACTTTGATGGAATAATACTAAGTGCACCTCATATTGACAAGACCAACACTTGGTATTGGCATATTTAACTGGAACTAACAAAGGTTCTCAATCATGCTGATAACAATGAACAACTTAAAATAGAAAGAGTAAGCATATCTGTCATGCAAAAAACGGGGCCAGGTCAAAATGTTCTCTAATTGAAGTTAGTTAAGAATGTCCCATTACAAGATTTTTAGATATTTTAGAGCACGTCATTCTCAACCTTAACATCTCCAAGTACAACTTACTATATTTGAGAAACATACCAGTTCAAGAGTTATCTTTGATTTTTAGCGGTCTCAAATAATGTTTAGAAAATTTTGATCAATCTGAAAACTAATAGTTCCCCGTTGTACATCCCATATATGTCTGCTCCTAATTCATTCCATCTGACCAAAAAGTAGAATTCCTGACAATTGCCTAGAATTAGTAGAATGGGAGTAGAATGCAAAAGCATAAATCACTTAACAGAAGCATAAACCAGTTCAGCTTGGTATATATGATAAGACACCCATTTGCCGAACATTTCCCTCATTTCTTTCAATCTGGTGACAAGCTTCATCAACAAACTGCAATAAAGTTCACTACTTGATCAGGTAAAAGTTATTATTACAATAAGAATGCAAATGGCTGTAAATCGTTCAAGATAAAGGGTAACTCCTGACTGAACTGCATAGAAATTATACATTCTAGGTTATGAAGCAAGTTAAGGACAAATCCTGCTGCATGAGCTTTCTGACCAGAAATATAGCGTTCTGTAATCCCATGCATCGATATGTAGCGCAAAGGATCAATCTTGTATGCCCAGTCCACCACAACATAGAAGTCTTCCTAAAATTTAAATGAATAAATAATTGATGAACAGCCAAATACATTGCTGCTAAGCAACATTTGAAAATTTTAGAATGCAAAAAGAAATTGTTGCTGAAAAATCTAAATAAATGAGGCAAATATTAGGGGGGAGGGGAAAAGCAAAAATTAACACGAGTATAGTTAGAAACAACAGATATGATAACATGCGGTTGGACTGAAAGTATGGCATTCCATAATATAATAGAATGGGAAAATAGGATTCAAGTAGCCATCCTCAAATAGTTGAGAAAAGCCTTTGTTAAGTGTAACAAACCATATACATGAATAACTAACAATTCCTTCCATATAAAAACCTCAGTTCAATCCCAAGTTCAAACCAAAACACTGAAAAATAGTATGTATTCTTTCCAATTTTAAAGCAAGATAGATGATAGAATAGGTGTTACCAAGCTAATTGGTTCTAAACCAATGTGACCCTGCTTGTGCTGGCTCAACTATAGGTTGATACTGGTTGAACCTATCTACATTACAAAGTTGTCATCAAGTGGATGGTGATGCCAGAGAGTCTGAAGACAGTTTCTTCAGATGGTCAAGTGCACCAAACTCCAGCAACCTGACAATTTAACCATTAAGGTTTCATGAAGTCTACTCTAATCCAAGACATTAATAACATGAACAGAAAAAAAACAAAAACAAAAAAAAGTAACTGCAAGTCAATTATATAGAGGTTTATTGTCCTCAGACCTCCCGCGTAGAAGCAAGAAAATTGTGGCTCTAAATTAAGACTTGATTCAGAAAATTACATAATCACAATAAAATTACAAGATATATATTATATATTACCTGTATCCCGTCAAGCAAATCATGAAGTCAATCAACCTCTGCAGAATTTTTACCTATAAAATTAAATAAGCAGTGCTAAATCAACATTTAGTGGGATGAATAAGATCATGACATTTGGAAAAAAGAATTACAGTACCCCTATCATTCTCATCCATGTCCATGATGCCCAAATCATCATCATTGGCATCATTGTCACCATTGGCACGACCTCCTTGTGGGACAAGTGCAGGTACTTCAAAGCACATGAAATGAGCTAAAAGAGAACTCTGCAATTTGAGCAATCAAAGAACAAAAGCTTCAATACAAGAAGAAAACGTATCATTGAGATTTTTAAATTAATAAAGAAAAAGAAGAAGAGTAGATAATTAGGGTTTCAACCTTTTCTCCAAGGATAATTATTGTAAGCATTTTGGCATAGGCCTCTGAAACTATAGAAGTGTCTCCAAAATCAAGACGCAAAATTCGGCAACAATTTCATTGTGGACGAGAGTAATCGGTCCAATATAAAAACTAAAGAAGAGAAAAATCAAGACCTAGAGCGAGAAAAAAGGAAAAGAAAGACCTAGAAACAGAAAGAAAATTAAAGAAAATAAAAGAAAATTATCTTGTTCGACCGTGATTGTGAGCACGTTTCAAGTGGTCGATTAGATCTGGGTCACGTCACTAGCGAACCGTAATTTGCAGAACTCACAAATAAGCTCCATTTTCCGCTTGATGAGATAGCAAACCTTTAGTGTTGTAAAACGCCTTAGTACAGAGATTACAGAAGACTTCCCTAATTTTCGCCATGATCGCAGAGCTCTGCAGTTTGCTCTCTCTCAGAACCAAGGTGAATGGTTTTGCGCGGGCAAAATAATTTTAGGGATGTTTGGCTGCTCAGATATTGGGGCTGGGATCGTGTGCTGCAGGCCTCCTCTTGTGCCCTGCTCAGTTAAACCAAACCGCAGCGTTTGTTTTTATGAAACTTGCTGGTGTCGGTATGTTTCGATTATTGTATGATTTTTACTACAATTGCACTATTGTTGTATTATGTGGCTCAAAAATTGCCAACTCAAAGTTTTACATCACCAATGACTTCATCAGCAACTTGGCAGCCAAGGAGTGTGATAACCAAGTCTCCATGCGTGGTCACCAAGTAGCCTTAGTACTTGATCAGCAAGCTGTGGTGCCAGCTCCATACGTGATCGGCAAGTGTGGTTGTTGATTTTTGGTTATAAACAGTCTATGCTCTCCGTGGTGCTGAAGTATCTGAAATCAATTGAGTGAGTGTATCAATATCATTTGGAGTGAGAGACAATGGGCATATTTGGATTTTGGGTGTGAGCCACTTTGCCTTGTATCTCTTTATTTCTAAAGTGAAATATTATTTTGTCTTCTCCCCGTGCACGTAGGCATAGCCGAATCACGTGAATCCTTATCTTCTTTTGTGTGTGTGCCTATTTTATTTTCTTGTCATTAATTTTCTCTTGTTCTCATAACTCCTATTCAATCCTTATTTCATAACAAACTAGTATCAGAGCTTGGGTTTGTGTATTGTGTACAAATATTGTTCACGTGTACGGTACTATTCACTGGTACTGTTCATGCATACGGTATTGTTAACAAATACTATTCGGGTACTGTTCATAAATTCGATACTATTCACTGAGAAATTTTTTGGGGAGTTTTTTGAGATGTCGACCAGATACGAAATTGAGAAATTTGATGGCAAGATTAGCTTTAGTCTTTAGCGTATTAAAATGCAGACCCTGCTGACTCAGCAAGGTCTAAAGAAGGTATTGTTCAAAAAAGACAAGTTGCCAACAACTATGTCTAATGAAGACAAGGATAAGGTCGATGAAAAGGCGCGTAGTGCGATTATTTTGAATCTAGCTGATGAGATGTTACGTGAAGTTACTGATGAAGACACAGCGGCAAAGTTGTGGCTGAAATTAGAGAGTTTGAATATAATGAAGTCTCTCACCAACAAACTACACTTGAAACAAAGACTCTACACCCTTCATATGAATGAAGGTATACCTCTTAAGGAGCGTGTTGATAATTTTAATTCTATTATTATGGAAAAATACTGATATTAAAATTGATGACGAGGATCAAACCCTTATTTTGTTGTGTTCTTTTCCTCTTTCCTATGAGCATTTTGTTACTACATTTCTTTATGGAAAAGACACTATTAGTATGGAGGATATTAATCCTCATTAAACTCTCAGAAGTTAATGAAAAAGGTGTCTGGGAATATTGGAGATGAACAGGCGAATGGTCTATTTGTAAGAGGCAAAAATGAGATAAAGAGTTCTAGTAGTAGGGGCAAATATAGATTTCATAAAAATATAGAATGTTATTACTGTTACGAGATAGGGAACATCATCAAGCACCGTCCCAAACTAAAGGCAAAGAATGGGAATAGCAAAGAGAAGGTTCAAGAAGCAGCTTTTGTGGCAACTGCTATAACGAGTGATTCAGAAAGTGACGAATATGTTCTTGTGACAACCTTGTGTTCAGGTATGTCATTTAAAGATAGGTGGATTCTTGATTCTGGTTTTTCCGTTCATATATATCCCAGTAAGGATTCTTTTTTTTCCTATAAAGAGGTGAAAGGTGGTTCGATTTTGACAGTGGACAGGAGAGCTTTTAAAATTTTGAGAATTGGAACAATTAAGATCAAGACGCACAATGGGTTGGTGAGAACATTGTCAGATGTGCGACATGTACCGGATCTAAAGATGAATCTTATTTCAGTAGGTGTGCTAGACTCCAAAGGTTACAAGGTTGTAATAGAGGGTAAAGTAATGATAGTCGTGATGGATTCTCTTATGGTGATACAGGGCACCAAGGTGAAAATTTTGTATCTTCTCCAAGGGAATACAGTAACAGGTGGAGCTGCTATAGGATTTTCTACAGTTCACAGAAATCTACATTCAGGCCTTGGCAAAGGAAGAGTTAGAAAGAGGAGTGATGATCCTAGTTCTCAAAATGGTTGTGAGGGGACTACACAACATGGTGGGAGAATGAAATCCATTTTCAGATGGCAACCAAAATTATAGCAGTCCTTACAGGGAGGCAGACCTATGAGGACAGGTGTGATATTGACTTGCAATAGTCTTGGTGGCAATGATATAGTCCATTCGAGTGTCATTAAAATATGTATGAGGCAAGTAGTTGGTCACAATAGAGATGCGAGGAAAAGTCAACGACGTCCTATTCACCACAAGGTTAAAAATATGACTTTTCATTACCAACCAGTGGTTTGTGAGCGGTTGGAGAAGGTTGCTGAATGAGATGTCAAACTTAGAATTTCTGAAGGTGTTTTTGGTAAGCATTTAGAGTTTGACATAAATCCTGGAGGTATGCTTGTGGCTGCCCAAGACATGTATAGGTTGAAGAATGAGAGCCCAAGGGTTAAGTTTGAGGATGACTCAAACTTAACTAAAATTCTTAATTAATTTGTTTTGTAGAAAAGATAGGTTGTTTGGCAGAGATACAGTGGCTCATTTGGAATTTTTAGCTAAGGTGGAGATTTGTTGTATTATGTGGCTCAAAAATTGCCAACTCTAAGTTGTACATCATCAATAACTTTATAGTAACTTTGCAACCAAGGAGTGTGATCACCAAGTCTCCATGTGTGGTCACCAAGTAGCCTTAGTACTTGATTAGCAAGTTGTGGTGCCAGCTCCATACGTGATCAGTAAGTGTGGTTGTTGATTTTTGGCTATAAATAGCCTGTGCTCTCTATGGTACTGAAGTATCTGAAATTAGTTGAGTAAGTGTATCAATATCATTTGGAGTGAGGGGCCTTGGGTGTATTTGGGTTTTGGGTGTGAGCCACTTTTCCTTGTATCGCTTTATTTCTATAGTTAAATATTGTTCTGTCTCTCCCCATGGACGTAAGCATAGCCGAATCATGTAAATCCTTGTCTCCTTTTGTGTATGTGCCTATTTTATTTTCTTGTCATTAATTTTCTTTTGTTCTCATAACTCCTATTCAATCCTTATTTCATAACAACTATTAATACTGCGTTGTGCAAAAATGGAATGGAATGTAAGTGGGAATAGAATAGAATGAGAATGTAATAGAAAAATAAAATGGTTTGGCTGTAAATATAAAATGTGTAGGAATGAAATGATAATAACCATTCTAGTGTTTAACTGGACTAATTTAAAATTTAGAATGTAATATATTTTAAATTGAGTTCTCCAAAATATCACTCTTAGTAACAAACAAAATAAATTAACAAAATGACATTCTTCTATAATTTTTTTTTTTTTAAAAAAAATGGTGGCAGTGGTAGTGGCGGATAGTTATAACAACCCAAACTCGGCCAAAGGTCTAGATCACTAACCGGGCCATGACCCGATTCGGGAACACCTAAGGGTACAATGATCTTTTTGACTATTAAAGTGTACTATAGGTCATAGTAATGCTATAATAGTCGTTGCTAATCAATATGAGTCACTTGCGGGTGAACGAATCGACTTTAACCCCAAACCGGTCCAATTAAGGTTATAAGGGTACTCTAGTCTTTTTGGACCGTGCAGCGCATCAAAGGCCTCGAAATAGTCTTCTAAGTCATAAATAAACGTTTGGGGTCACTTAAAAAGGTGGGAAAACATTTTGAATCAAAGTTGTTTGTTTTAGAGCTAAAAAGGGTAAAAATGACATTTTAAACCAACTACCTCGCATTCGGACACGACCACGGTGTTTTGTGCATCCTATAGGTCATATAAGACCCACACTGTGAAGCTCGGAAGGATCGAAGAAGGTAAAAAAAAAATAATAGGTGGGATTCAATAACGAGCACTCGTCCACCCCCTTCAAGAGCTCGTGGGACATGCAAGGCGCCCCCCGTGCACACGCTGTGGCATGCCCCAATACTGGACAAGTGTTCATCCGCCCAAGTCGAGCACTCGACGCTACCCAAAAAATGGGCTCTTGCCCCTTTTTGCCTCCGAAGGTAATTTCAAACCACCTTTTGGTCATTTGACTTTCAACGCCCTGTCCTAACTCACAACATGTAAAAGTAGCCATTCATTGACATTAAATGTAATGACCCGGTCATTTTCCTTCTTTTCCTTTTCTCTGATTTTTACGGATATTTTTTTCCCGTTGATCTTTTCTTTTCTGAGTTTGGTTTCTCGTCACTTAGTGTTATCTTGAGTACTCGGGGATAGTTTTCGAGACTCTTTTCTTTGGATTGACAACTTCCTTTAGGGACCGAGTCATTTCCATATTTTCACTTTTTAGACACTATTCACTTTTCATCATTTTCCCTATTCTGTCTTTTCCTCGTTTGTCACTTTGTTGGCATAGCCTCACTTTTTATGTTCGAAGTTGGTTTTTGACTTTACGTATCTTCATTCTAAGTGGTTTTCACGAAATACGTATCTTTACTTTTGCAGAAAAGTACTCTAGTTGCTCCCGGAGTTTATAGGGGCATGGATGCATAATTCTTCAGAAACATTTTCTTTTCTTGGGATATTTTTCGTAAATATCTGTTGAAAATATTTTATTTCGGGAGTTTTTAAGAAAATATTTTTGGAAGATATTTTCATTCTAGGTCATTAGTGCAGTTATCACTTTTTATAAGGGCCATTGTGCAATTAATGAATGTTATTCCAAAAATGCCTTGTTTTGAGCCTGGATTCTCGTACGGGATTCATTTTCACTTTTTTTCGAATCACGTACTCTTAGAATTTCCTTCTGGTCGTTTCCCCAGTCTAAGGGTTTTTTACCCCAGTTGCCGCCAAACTTGTTTGGGGCATATCTCTCTGCTCGAGACTCAGTTTTTGACGTCGTTTCTTTTGTTTTTCATCTTTTCTCATTTGGGTTCTTTTTTGTTCAAGGAGTTTTGTCGTATGAGCGCGTCTGCGCGAATTCCACTTTTCTAGACCCGACGAGGCCCGTTCAGGGCACTTTTTGAGTTTTTCTATAAATAGGGGGTCTTAGAAAGAAAAATCAGATTTTT